CGTGGGTTCTGCCTAAACTGCAGCTTCTGTTATAGGGTCTGGCGTTCTGAGGTTCTTTTCATCACGGACTCGCGCGCAAAGCTCACCGATGTGGTCTCAGCCGCAGCTCACTGTACACATTGGAGCCTTCCTGCTGGCCGTGCAATATGGGGGTTTAGGGTTTAGGGTTTAGGTTCTTAAGGTTTAGGGTTTCGGGTTTAGGGTTTAGGGGGGTTTCCGACATTAGGGGTACATGTTCTGGGGGGTCCCTTTAAGGAGTTCGACTCTGTTTGCGGGTCAGAGGGCTCCCCTATTTCGGGAAATCTACATACGGGGGGTTTCCGAAATAAGGGGGTACCTTTTTGGGGGTCCTTATCATCAGGGACTCCTACAACATGGGTGGTCTGTCTTAGGGGTCCCCATACTTTCGTAAACCCCCATATTTGGTAACTTGCCTTGGCTTGATTCTGGCCGCATGGATATGACAACTTGAATGTTATTGTTGCCAGTGAACTGGACCTTTGAAGGTTAAACCCCTATAAGCCCCAAGAAGAAGACCCAGGGATCGGGGTCCACAAGAAGGGGAAGGCTTTCTTCCGGTTTTTGGCCCCCCCCCCCCCCCTCTCCCTCGCCCTCTTGCGCCCCTTGGGTTTAGGGCTCAGGGCTTAGGGTTTAGGGTAGTGAGGTAGTCCTTGGGCCCGGCAGGATCATTAGAGGGTTGAATCCAGGTTGAAGGCACCGGCGGGTTGATCCCAAAGGGTTGGCCACACAAAATCTAAGGCGGCCAAGGCCTTCCGCACCCCTAAACCCTCAACCCTAAACCCTAAACCTTATCCACTGTTTTGGGATGCCCTTATACGGATACCCCCTATTATAATCCCCATCAAGGACTATTAGTCTAGGGGGGAACATCCCAAGTCCTTTCTTTCATTTGCCGTGACTTGGGTGCTCCCCCCGGCCGAGGCAAGCGTGGCGATAAAACAATTCTTGTGTTGTTTGAGAATTCTTGTTAGTGGGGGATGGGGGGAAGGCCTGTCGATGTCAAAAAGCCAACATGATGTCATCTGCATCCACTACATTTGGGGGGGGGGGGGGCCTCATACTAGAATTCTACATGGCTAGATGGCAGTCATTTAGGAGGCTTCTGTACTAAACCCCATGCAGTCGTTCTTTTTCGCCCTAAAACATTTTAGACACAAGCCCTGCTTGAACCGCACGCACTGCCAGACGGAAAACTGGAGCAAACACGCTCGTGAGACGTCTTGCTTTAGACGAGAAGCCGCGTTCTCTGATGGGAAGCTGGACATGTCTGAAACAGAATTCTGTGTCGGTTTAGGGTTTAGGGTCTAGGGTTTTGGCTTCAAGTGGGAGTGTTTGCAGACTCCACGCACGCAATGAGGTCGCTCATGGGTAGCGGTGGCGGCATGGAAGTCTGCAACGCATTTCGTGATCGCAGACAATCACATCGTGCCAAGCCATCGGACCACCACTGTTTTCCTCGTCCCCTTGGCGGGAATTGATGTGGCCGACGGCACACACTGCCGACCGGAAGGGAACCTTGGTTGAAGGCAACTTCGGTTGAAAGAACACTACGCGGCAAGGTTGGCCCAGCGCATCTTGCTCGAGCGAAACTCACAAACGTCATAGACATTGCTGAGAAAAGAGCACTCTTGAAAAAAGGGACTTGAGCTGCTCGTCTTGAGGAAGTCAACAGCCTTCTGCAACTCTTGCTCCTCGACTCTCTTCTACCCCTTGCGTAGCAAATAGCTGAAGGTGGTTTAGGGTGTAGGGTTTAGGGTTTAGGGTTTAGGGTTTAGGGTTTAGGGTTTAGGGTTTAGGGTTTAGGGTTTAGGTCTACATGGCCTCTCTGATGACGGTCAGCTCAAGAACTGGGCGCCGGCGTTCGCACGCCCCGCGGAAGCACACACACTCTTTGCATGTGCACAGCGCAATGTGTGCGCGGCTCTCCTGAGTCATCTTGAAACCCAACAAAAACAACATTTTTCTTCGCCCTCTGAAGCGGCCGTTTAAGGAATCATAAAGATCCAGGATGACTCAGGAGCCGGGGGCTTCTGTCGAGAACCGTGTGCGTGTGTTGTTAGGGGTTTAGGGTTTAGGGTTTAGGGCTTAGGGCTTAGGGTTTAGGGTTTAGGGTTTAGGGTTCAGGGTTTAGGGTTTAGGGTTTAGGGTTTAGGGTTTTAAGGTTGAGGGTTTAGGGTTTAGGGTTCAGGGTTTAGGGTGGTTTCTTCAGGCGTTTGTTTGTTTCTGGGTTCTTTGTTTTGCGTTGCTCGCACTGACAGTAGGAGTGCATCCCAGAACGGCAGGGTAGACTGAAAGCTTGGGGACAAAGGCGTATACGAAGGGCACCAACTTACATCGAACGTTATTTCCAAGCACCGACCTTTGCAAATTCAACGTGCTGAAGCAAGTCCAATGTTAAACAACGTCTTCTCAAGTTCAAACTCCTGATGTCTTGTCATGAGGCTCGTCAGAAAGAAGCAAGAAACACTGAGACTGACAAGAAACCTCAAGCAAGCTTCAATAGACTCCGTAAACTGTCCTTGGAGAGTTGAAACAAGCCGACCCTAAACCCTAACTAAACCCTAAACCCTAAACACGTAGCTTAATCCCTTGGCAATCGTTTGGCAACCATCTGCAAACACAGTTCGGACGGTGGGCGACGGCGACTGTCGGCTACAACTCATGAAAACCCAGGCCCTTTCAAACCCTCTGAAAAATACTCCTGCGAGCTTGATCTTCTTCAACCCAACACAGGAACATATTAAGCAAACTCTCGACCTCGGAGGGCGAGGGCACAGCAGAAGCGGTGCAGCTTGCCGAAAATCCTAAACCCTAAACCCTAAACCCTAAACCCTAGATGTCCCAATGAAAGGGCCTGCCTAAGAAGGTTTCACCTTCACTGTTAGGCCATGCTCAAACGGCAGAGAATCTGATTGCAGCCAAAGAATCGACCTCGCTGAAGCTAAAACAATGCCCAAGAAACCGTTTAGGGTTTAGGGTTTAGGGTTTAGGGTTTAGGGTTTAGAGGGAATTCAGGTACCCGATATCCCCTTGGAAATGAGGTAATTCGCCTCTATCACCTATATCGTTCAAGAAGAGCTTCTGGGGCAGCATCGAGGTGGTGGGAGCAGGGCTCTCTGGGAATAGGAACACGGGGGCAATGTAGCCAAGAGTAGCCCGGTTCAGGGTTTCGGGTTTAGGGTTGAGGGTTTAGGGGTTCTGGATAGGTATTGCTCTTGGGGTGTTCTTCCCTTGGCCGAAGTGGCGCAGGGGGGGGGAAGGAAGGTGCGAACTCGCTCAACTTTCACTGTGCTATGTCTTGTAGGTTGAAGCCACGCTGGGTCGCACAGAGGCAGCATCCACCCTCAATCAGGATGGAAAAGGCATGTGCTAGCCAGACTCAACAACATTCCAAAACTGCACGCCCCTCAATCATACGGCACCTGAAAGCCCAAAGCGTAGGACACCGAAACTAGAACACAACAACGAAGAACTTCTCAAGCCAATGGCGTGCACGAAGGGGTGAATAAAGCACTCCCAAGAGCATCTCCTTCGTAATACCCACCATATTACCGTATTGCTAAATGACTATATCAGTACGCCACTTTCTGCCATATATTACTATATATTACTTATATAGTACTATAAATTACTATATACTACTGTCTACTACTACACTAATGTATTACTGTACTGCTATTATTGCTATATTGCTATATTGCCACATTATTGCAAAATTGCAACATTGCTATATTGCATTATATTGCTATACTGCAAGATTGCTATTGCTATATTGCTATAATGTTGTATTCCTATATTGCGATAATACGACCTTACTTTTGTCTATCTTACTCTGCTACTATAGGCTCTACTTTCCTCTATTTTTCTACGTTATCGTCTACTACTTTATTGCCATTCGCTAGACAATTTTCAGGAGAGCAGTCTGGGAGGCAACTCCCTCATCAGAAGACCATTTGGGAACGCGAAAAGCTCCCTGGGAACCGACTTGACATGCAACGCCTCTGGTGCATTGCAGGCCAGCCAGCCGACGAACCGTACCCGCAAAACTTCAAAAAACACGCGTAAGTAAAGTGGCTGTGCCGCGGACATGGCTTCCTAAGGCGGTGCAAAGCAGCCTTGCACAAGCCCGTCGCCGAAGCCGAAGGGTTGATGACAGATTGGTGGACTTGATTACATTCTACAACATGTCGCAGAGAGAGCGTCGGCCACGCGTCGGAAGTACGCCATCTGCGCTACCGTTACTTGCCCAAGGCTGCCGTGCATCTCACGTCCATTCCGATATCGGCCTGTGCCGGCGCCACGAATTTCGTGCGGGTTCTCCACCACCTGCACCATGAAGGATTGAACCAGGTAGGTCATCCAAAAAAGTTCTTTGGTAGCTCTGCGAGTGCAGACGACTTTCGGCTTGACCTAGATGAAACCCCACATCGCAGTCGGCCCAAGTTAAAGAATTCGCAATGAACGGAGGAAGGTGCACGAGATTGAAGGTCGTAGGTTCCTCTGTCCACCCAAAGACCTGGTTTGAACGTTGCCCCCGATAAATGCTCCTCAGTTGGATTTAGGAATATCACCGGAAAAAGTTGCTGTTTGTTGAAAGACCTTCAAGCTCGGTGCGTTGGAAAAGACATGCGTCAACATGTCTCGGCGTCCCTCGTGGAGAAGCTTCTTCCTGTGTGAACAGTCTCAACGGGTTCCAGCTGCGCGTGGCTTTGGCATTCGGGTATTTGGGCACAGGAAAATTCAAAGACCCCCAACGGGTCAAAGAGAAAAGAGAAACTCTGTCAACCCAAGACGTGCTCGAACTTACAAGCCAAGAAAACCGACCCGAAGGAAACTTCTTCCTCACATGCTTACAGTACAGCATCAACTCGGGGCCGGAAAAAACTCGGAAAGGGGCCAAACAAACTAATTGAAAGCTGGGGGTACCAGAAGCCTCAATCCAGGCCGGGGCAACAACCCCAGACAAAGAAGCCCCCAACCTAGAGGGAGAAGATCTGGCCATTCTCAGGCAGCCTCAGTTTCAGAGTCTGGAGATCTTGATGCTGAAGACCGCAACACATGATCCCTCAACGTCAAGCAGCGGGAAAAGTCTAGCGACTCGCGATCTGACCCCCCCCCCTCGGGATTCAGGATGATCTGCGATGCAGACCGCGGCAACCGAGCCGTTGACGCTTCCCGTGCACCCAAGAGGCTGTGTTGGGACTTGGCCAGTTCAAAACTAGACCCAGGAGGAACCTAGGAAGAAAAGGGTGCCCGTTTTTGGTTTGAAGGGGCCTCTAAGGGAACCCCAACCACAAAAGGAAATAAGGGCCTACTCCGGGTCCTAAACCCCTAAACCCCTGAACCCCTGAATACCCCTGAACCCCTAACTCTAACCCTAAACCCTAAACCCCTAAACCCCTAAACCCCTAACTCTAACCCTAAACCCTAAACCCCTAAAACCCTAGAGGAGCATAGTGCGAAGACCCGTTAGAGATGTGCCGCAAAGTGTCTGGCCATCTCCTAGAAGTTCGAGCAGCGGATCTCGAAAACCTGCCGGGCTCAGGGTTTAGGGTTGAGGGTTTAGGGTTTAGGGTTTGGGGATGGAGGCAAGGCAAAGGACTCAAATTCCGAGCGGGCCTGACACAATTCCGGGCTCCCTGGAATCCCCTGCAACCTTCTCTGGGAAACCTACAAGTCGGGACTGTTGTGGGGGCTTGATGGGACCTTTCTGGGACCTCCTGGGACTCCCTGGGACCGGGTGGCACCCCATGCTCTGGCCAAAAGTAGCCGATTCCAGATGGAGTTCTGCAAAGATTGGGGTGGCCGAAATGACCCAAGCTATTGACTTGAGTTTAGGCCTAAACCCTAAAAGGGTTTAGGGTTTAGGGTTTAGGGTTTAGGGTTTAGGGTTTAGGGTTTGGGGTTTAGGGTTTAGGGTTTAGGGTTTAGGGTGGCTTTGCCGCCTTGGACGGGGTGGGGTGGCAGAAAAGTGTTGCATGGCCCTCCACTATCGGGGCCGCGGGCTAGAATTTTTTCAAAACACGATAGATTATTAAAAATGGCCAGAGCTGCTCTTCCCACCTCACGAAGCTTTCGAGCTTGATCCAAAACCTAACCTTCACAGCATCTACACCCTTTTGCAGCAACCCCCTAAACCCTAAACCCTAAACCCTAAACCCTAAAGCCCCAGAGCTGCAACTTGAGTCCTTCGAGCATGTTCGCTTCCTCCCTAGGCTCCGGCTGACAGAACAAGGCTTGGGCGCAGTCACCGTAACCCTGCACCTCAAACCCAAACCCTCTTAGGGTAGCTACCTGGTCCCTTAGTATGGGCCCGTATTAGGGGGGCCCTCTACACCAAGGGCCCATACTTCAGAACCTGTTCAAGGAGGTAAGGGACCATATTATGGAACCATAAACGAACTACCCTTAGAACCGCGAAACCCTGTGAGAGTTTACGAGAATCAGGGGCCCCAGATATAGACCCCCAAATGGTAGGATCCCTTCATGATAAGGACCCCAATAAGGTACCCCTATTATCGTAAACCCCCCTATCCCTCAGCTGTGCCTCCTTCGATTTCGGCGTGCGCCGCGGGCTCTGGCCGTGGTAGCCGCTCGACGGAACCTTGCAGGGCTTTAGGGTTTAGGGTTTAGGGTTTAGGGTTTAGGGTTTAGGGTTTAGGGTTTAGGGTTTAGGGGCTTGTGGGGATCCCTTGTGATGAGGGTTCCCCAAGTTGGGGGGTTTCCGAAATACTGCGTACCTTCTTGGGGTCGCCTATTTTCGTAAAACCCTAAGTCCTAAAGAATAAGGGCCCACGTCATCAGGATTCACATTGGGGTAGACCTCTAGCAAATCCCTGTTTTACCCTCATACCCATATCTGGAAGGGTAGGGTAGGGTCGGGTAGGGTAGGGTTAAGACATGCTTTAAGACGCAGAGCTGGGGCGTAAATATCCCCCGCCCCCTTGGTCGGCGTCGAGAAGCTCTGCCCTTAGCTCTTTCGTATCCTCGCTCAGTGATCTTCTCTTCCCCAGAAACAAAAAAAGAAGAACCTAAACCTTAAACCTAAACCCTAAACCCTAAACCTTAGTTGCTGTCGCTCTGGGGCGTGGCCGGCTGCGGGCGACAGTCCGTTAGATCATATGAGGGATGCCCCCTATTTTGGGTGGCACTCATTTAACACACGGGCGTTTACATGCGTATTGGCTTGTAGTTCATGCGTTTTTAATGACGACAGGGGGAGGGTAGGTGGACAGTGATAATGCTGGTCTTGACCACACAGCACTGTCCGACGAACAGAGCAGCCCTCTAGACTCTAGACTGATACGGATTCCTATTTCCCTGAAGTCAACCTTTGACTCGTTCCGGGGCTTTGGAGCGACACCGGCAAAAATTTCTGCACATCTTGAACTTGAACAGCTGATCCTGAGTTTCAGGAATTCAAGATGTCAGAAGATCCTTCGGGCCAGTTGTCGCGCACTGACCTACAAGCCTGTGTGGCAGCCTGGTGAAGGGTTCACTCTGAACCTAAACCCTCAACCCTAAGTACTGAGCTCTTGGCAAAGCCCGGCCTGTCGCAAAATTTCGCGCATAGGGACTGTTGACCACCAGCGCCTGAAGCTCATCGTGCACGCGCCTGAGCTGATCTGCCGGAACATTAGGGTGGTGGGGGGGGGGGGGGGTTTAGGGTTTAGGGCTTAAGGGGTTTAGGGGGTTTAGGGGGTTTAGGGGGCTTTAGGGGGTTTAAGATTTAGGTTTAAGGGGGTGGGGTTGTGCTCATCATGTCTCGTCATCCCAAAGCTTTCGCCCGTATAGCTTTCTTACCGACTCGCTCATAGTCGCAACTGCCACCCATCCCACCTATCCTTTCAATCCAACATGAAGCTGTTTCACGCCTTGCCCGTGCGAATGGAATACAAAACCTCGATCTGATAAATCGCATGGTGCTCGTCAACAGACACGGATTAGCGCAAGGCTCTTGGGCAAGCAGGGCAATGCGTGCAGTCTCAGCGAAGCGCCACGCTGCACGAGCCCACATTGCACAACTTCTGCACACTGCTTGGGCATCTAACGCTAGACAAACTAGATCCATTCATGATGCGTCAGCTCACGCAAGGCTAGGGCGGCTAGGATATGAAGACCACACAGAGTCAAACCGACCCTATCGCTATCAGTATCAGAGATGCAGCTCGACAGCACACCGAACCTCAGGGCCTCAAAAAAAAATGAAACGGAGTAAGCGAGCTTGCTTGGCCGCCGAAGGCCTTAGCTCCATTAAGAGCATAGTTCGAGTTGCGCCCACACTGCGGCCGAAACTTCTACGCTTGCATCCCCCCCTACCTCTAACCCTAAACCCTTAAAAAAAAAAAAACTAAACCCCAAACCCCAAACCCCAAACCCTAAACCCTAAACCCTAAACCTAGAAGCCAAGTGTCTCTGGGGACTGGTCGTACCTTGTGAGAAGTGCAGTGATCGTCTTCTTAACCTGGGGCGTTTCATTGGGGTCGGCTCTGAGGTCTCCGAGGTCTAGGGGTCAGAGGGTTTAGGGTTTAGGGTTTAGGGTTTAGGGTTTAGGGTTTAGGGTTTAGGACGGGAGGTTGGGATGACCCACTCTCAAGATCTGACGGTGCACTTCAGCAATCGCGGCGGGTTTTTGTAAGAGTACGCAACTTTGGGGATGCAGTGTGGGAGATCCGCCATTGGGTTGGCAAGGGGGGGCGAAGTAGTGGCACGACCTACTCGCCTTTCAACAGGGCCGCTGACAGGAATGCGTGGCATCCCCCGTATCCGGCCCTTGCACCCAAAACCCTTTCTCGCTCTCACCATCAACCTCATAAGCTTCACCCCAAAAAAATGCTCAAGCCTTACGGGGGGTTTCTCGCGCCTTTTTTTTTGAAAGGTGCCTCTCACACATGAGGTCACGCCAAGCAGCCTTCTGACGCATGGACTTGCGCGGCCGATGTGGCGAATCGTGTGCATCTGGAGGGTGGCGCAGGTGGCAAAAAGGGCAGCGACCTTGAATTGAACTCCCCGAGTCTCTCCCCCCCAGGCTAGTTGGGAATGAGGGAATTCGGGCCCTACATCATATACCCTTTCAGGGATTTTTTTAGGGTACTCGGTCGGGGCTTCGGGAATTGGACTTCTTTTGCCACTCTTGGAGCACGCTCTTGCGGGGGGAGGGGATGGGGGGGGAGGGGGGGGGGATGGGGAAGTGTTGGCGATCCGCAGTTAGCATCTGCCCAACAAAGAAGAGCTCGATATCCCCAGAACCCCGAAGCCCCGAACGTGCCAAACCCGTGAGAGGTTTAACGACATGAAGGGAGGTTTTTTGGGATTCTTATGAAAAGAGGCTCCCACTATTTGGGGGTCTACATTCGGTGCCCCCCAAACTGTCGTAAAAACCCACCTCGACAGCCCTCCCTTTAGGGTTTAGGGTTTCGGGTTTGGGATTTAGGGTTTAGGGTTTAGGGTTTAGGGTTTAGGGCTTCAACCACGCAGCTTCCACGGCTGCAGCCGTGCTCCGAGTTGAAAAAGATACACGGGTTGCAGGTGCCAGCCTCATCACAGGATTCCCCTCTCGCATTTTGGGGCGCAACGATGGTCGAACTCTGAAAGGCCTCTGAAGCTCCAGCTAACAGCAGGACGGGCGATTATACCCTATAACCCCGCTGAAAAGGCCCTTGATAGGGTTGATTTGTGGGGATTCTGGGGCCCAATAGCCCGTCCTGGCACGTACCTACAACATGACTTGAACCTCTCGCAAGGCCATCGTGCACACCCGACAAACCTGATTTCCAGGAGCACAATCTCGCCTGGTGACCTGGCCTTGCCTCACCAAGCGCACTCAACCTAAGCCCGCCCGTCCTCATGTGGCGTTCTCTGCCGGAGGCCTGCTACAGGAGTCGCGCCTGCCGTCGATCTGGATGCGATGTAGTAAGTTCTAGCGGGCATCCTGACAGCTACGACTCTGGGGCATCCTGACAGCTGAATGATGTACCGTAGTCGTGTACAAGCGAACTGTAATCAAAGACATGGGAAAGCAGTAGATCCCCCTGGCAATCATGCGGCTTCTGGGGCGTCTGGCAAGTAAAGTACCTTTGATCAATAGAACGGTTGCATTCGGATTGCAATGGGGTGTTCGTTCGTAGAATCCCAGTTGGAGAATGGATGTGAAGACAACATTTTGCTGATCGGCCCAGGCCTGTCATGTTAGTCGCTCTTTTTCGAGCGCAATATATAAATAAACAAATAAACGAATAAACAAAAAAACAAAAAAAAACAAAAAAAAAAAAAAAAAAAAAACAAAAACAACAAATAAACAAATAAACAAATAAACAAATAAACAAATAAACAAATAAACAAATAAACAAATAAACAAATAAACAAATAAACAAATAAACAAATAAACAAATAAACAAACAGATAAATAAATAAACAAATAAACAAATAAACAAACAAATAAATACATATATATATATATGTGGGTATATAGATACATATATATATATATCCTAATAGTACCTACAATGGGTACAAGCAGGGAAAGAGTCTCGCAAGAGACCTTCTAAATCGAAGTTTCCGAGTGAAGCATTCTTCTGGCATCGGAAAGTCTTCCGTCAGCGACGTGCCCTAAAAAAAATCGAAACGTGCACGCCCAGACAAAGAACGACATGGCTGTAAATCATCCCACACCCCAACAGCCTAACAGCCACCCAGGCCCAAGACCCTCAATGGCATCGCCAATCAGCCGGAAGCACCGGCAGGCACGTGATCTGAAGATGCGGGGCCACCCGCCACCTCCTCGGTCGTCTCTTCCTTGCAGGCTTGAGCTGCGCCAAGAGCTCGTTGGCGCGTAAGAGCCCTCTTCGAGCCCCCAACTTTGTTCTCATCCTCCCCTGAAGCCCTACAAGCCAACCATGTGGGATGTTGAGGCACTGTCAAGGCCAGGCTTCTTGACATGTAGCCAACCCCCCCGCCCCCTGTTCCCGGCGTGCCTGCAAGGGCAGAGTTGCAGGTGCAGAAGAGGAGGCGGCTTGGGTCGACGCACTCATGACCTTAGATTCGATTCCTTAGATTTCTTAAGATTCCTTAGTTTGGCTGCATCCTTCGGATGTAGGCACGAGGTCTGTAATGGCCTGTACGTCACTGTAGCGCTGGAGCATAGCAAAAAGCCTATGAAGAAGGTTCCAAGCTCACCTCGCCACAACTCTTCGTAAGCACAAGTGGCCGACCGTGGGCCGTGGTGCCCACGGCAGGAAACCGCAGCCCCTCCGAGCTCCAATTGTTGAAACCTCCCTGACCTTGGGAGCCGGAAGCTGCAGCGAGAGCAGTGCAAGAGCGGTCAAAGGCATACGATCTGCCGCAGCGCACCGGAGACGTGGACCTCTCACGCAGAATGCCGGAAGTAAAGTGTACAGTGTAGTGAATGGGGCATCATCCAAGAGCCCCAACCCACCCTCATCCCCCCTCCAACCCTGAACCCTAAACCCTAGACCCTGAAGAAGAAACTGCTGCAAGCTTTGAACCAACCAGCAGCCACCGCCTCTGCAGCCGACGCCTCACCAAGGAGGGCCCTGCGAAAGAGCTTCTTGGCTGCGGGAAACAAGCAACCCTAAACCCTAAACCCTAAACCCTAAGCCCTAAGCCCTAAGCCCTAAACCCTAAACCCTAAGCCCTAAGCCCTAAACCCTAAGCCCTAAACCCTAAACCCTAAACCCTAAACCCTAAACCCTACCAGTTCAGAAAGAGAATGACTGGTGCTTTCGAGTCGGTTTTTCGAGCCGGTGGGGCGGACAGAGAGGACCGAACGATGAGGAAGCCGCCCCTCCTTGGGATCACCCTTATCCTAGCAGTCCTTAGTAGGGATTACAGTCCCCCGATGCTAGTCCCTATTCAGGATTTTTTAGTATAAGGGAGCCTTATACTAACAGTCATTTAATGGGGATTATAGTCCCCCTATGATCATCCCTATTAAGGAGCTGTTAGTATAAGGGGGCACATCCCAAGCCCCTCCGCCTTGGCGGAGATTTGCACGACCCCCAAAGCCCTCTTTTGCGTTGCCCTCTCTCTCTCTCTCTCTATCTGGCACCTGTGAGAAAAGAAGGACTAAACAAAATGAAACATGAAAGTCGTTCTCCCGAGCGCGTTGCTGTCGAGACGGGCAGGGATCGACCGGCCTAGACTCCGTAATGGCAAACTCATTGTGCTCCTAAGTTTAAGATCCGAAGTTCTTTTTTAGATCTTCTCAGCAACGGAATTCGCATCACAGTCGCACTCCTCCCAAGCAGCAGTAAAAAAAGAACAAACGAACAAACAAGCGCAGCTGATCAGGCGAGTTAAACGGTGATGATAATGATGGTGATGACTTGAGCTGACTGACGCGCTCGTGGGAACTGCTCAAAGACCGGGTAGAAACGTGAAATCTCAAAAGGCCTGAAGGGTAAGCCAACACCAACTGACACACACACACACACACACACACACACACACACACCGAAGAGACAAGCACGCCATGCCTGAGGCCACGCGCGGAGGTGGAGTTGGCTCCAAAGCGTCGAGTCACGAGCTCCTTCGCTTTGAACACTTCATGCAATTGTGCTTGCAGGCCTCAGGAAGGCCCCCAAAAAAAAAAAAACTATTCCTCCCTGTAAGGCTGCAAAGGGGATTACTTCTGCTTTCTTTTTTGGGGGGTTCTTCAGCAAGTAGTAGAGGAGCTCTAGGACTGCCCCCCGGACTAATCCGGGGCTGTAGGAGTCATGGTCATGGCATGGGGAAGCGGTACAGGGGGCAAAATGGACTCGTGCACATCACGGGTCGTTCTGGCTTCCCTGTTTAGGGCTTAGGAATCGAGGATTCAGGGTGTAGGGTTTAGGGTTTAGGGTTTCTGCTTTAGGGTTTAGGGTTGAGGGTTTGGCTGCTGCAAGAATTGCTAATACTCCGCGGAGCAACGCGTGCAGGCACGCGGACTGTGACTTGCTGCGATCGTGTCGGCTTAAGCATTCCCTCTCTCTGCACTGCATCGCCGCTGACTTCTTCAACGAAGTCGTGGTACAAGTGCTGAACGTGGTCGATGATGTTGCGTCTGGTCACGCTTCAGCAAGTCAACACTTTTTATGTGCCCACTCCCTCACAACTTCCCACCCTTCTCGACTGAAGACCAACACCCATGCAGCCGGACGCACCGAAACCCCTCAACCCCAAACCCAAACCCCTAAACCCCAAAAGCCAGAAAACCCTAAACCCGAAAGCCAGAAAACCCTAAACCCTAAACCCTCAACGCCCGTAAGCCCTAAAAAAAGCCTCTCAACTCGCGGGGAGCCTCTGTGACGAGCTCCCAAGGCGAGTGCAGCACTGGCACGCGCTCTGCAGCCTGGATCCAGAGGTTTGTTTGGGGTTTGGGGTTTGGGGTTTGGGGTTTGGGGTTTGGGGTTTGGGGTTTGTGGTTTGAGGTTTGGTGATTGGGGTTTGGGGTTTGGGGTTTGGGGTCTGGGGTCTGGGGTCTGGGGTCTGGGGTTTGGGGTTTGGGGTTTGGGGTTTGGGGTTTGGGGTTTGGGGTTTGGGGTTTGGGGTTTGGGATGTGGGGTTTGGGGTTTGGGGTTTGGGGTTTGGGGTTTGGGGTTTGGGGTTTGGGGTTTGGGGTCGAGGGTCTAGGGTTTAGGGTGTGGGGTTTGGGGTTTGGGGTTTGGGGTTTAGGGTTTATAAGGGTTTATGGTTTAGGGTTTAGGGTTTACAAGGGTTTAGGGTTTAGGGTCTGACGGAGTTGCTGTTTTCATTGGCTTCCCCAAAAAGTGCCCCAGGGCTTGCCTTTCCGGTCATCACCTTCTCTTTGGACAGCACCAGGCCATCCTGCATGAACACCTCGGGCTGCGCCGGAAGCCAGAGTTCAGGGTGGTGTCAGTCGTGTAAGTATACGGGCCGAAATGATTAGAGAAGTTTTTTTTTTTTTTTGGGGGGGGGGGGGGGGGGGGCATTCTAGTATAATCAAGAAAGGACCCTGCGTAATTCTTCCGACCCCTAGAGTAGACCGTGCCGACCCCACCCCCCCCCCTCCCTCACCCCGGTGTAGGGAGATGTTTAGGGTTTAGGGTTTAGGGTTTTATGTTCTTAAGGTTCAGGCTCCGCGAGTCTTGGCACATCCTTGATAGCCTGGGCTTCCCGCTGTCTTGTCGCTGTCCAACAGCTGCTGGTCCTTGGGACTTAAGACTGTAAACAGGAAGTCTCAGCTTTTTCACAGATGGCCCAAAAACCCAAACCCCAAAACCGACACCCAGCAGGAGAAGACTCTGTCAAGGTTCAATCATCGGTCCGAGCTTTAATCGGAAACCCCCATGCTTCTCATTCTCCACTCGAAAAGGAGCGCGCGACTGCAACCCGGCTGCCACCGGGCAGCAAACCACAACCGTGCAAGGCTGCAATAGGCGCGTTTTTGAATCAAGGCAAGCCGGGGGCGGAATCCCTTGTTACAATCTGCGCCTCCGCTATGGTCTCAAGCGCCGCCGCTATGGAACCTGGTCATGTTGACTCGGGGTTGTTCGAAGTAGGCTGGGCAGAAGCATGGGGGTTTACGAAAGTAAGGGACCCCGA